CAGTAATTCTATTTTGTATGACTGTAATTTTCTTTTATTATCGTTATTGTTATTATTATTACCATCATTACATGTGGATCCAGGAAAGAGCATTCAAAATGTGTGGCCAGTTTGTCCTTCTTGCCTGTCTTTGATTTTGTCTGGTCAAATTCCTCATTGAACTCCCAGCCGCTCTCCCACCTACTCACTCCTCCATCCCGCTCCCAGCTTTTTTTTTTCTCTCTCTCTCGCTCTTTTTCACCTTGTTGGCAGACATGCGCACGGCATGTTACACAACATCGCACCTTAACGCTCTTGAGGCTGTCGGCCGTCACGCAGAAAGCGGCTGCGCTCAGAGACGTGGTCCGGTGTGGGTGTGGGAGCTCCATGCTGGCCTGTGACTCCTGCTGCTGGGAGGGGAGCAGCAGGAACTCCCCGGGCCAAGTTCAGAAACCAAAACAGGCCCGACGGTCACCAGCTTCACAGCAGCGTGTTGTTTGTAATGCAACTACAGACTGAGGTGATCAGTTAGCGAGGGTAAATCTGCTAAAGATTAACCAAAGCGCCACAGCGACCCGTCCAGGTTTTACAAAAAAAAAGAAAAAAAAAAAAGAATTTTATCTGTTTTCTTAGAATGAAAACACAGTAAAAGTGTCATGAGTTGTGGTTGGTGGCGGTGAGAATGAGCGCAGGGAACCAGCTTGAGATGAAGATGATTAATTTAATGGAGAGTGTAGCTCAAAAACAGTCCAGATTTCAGGCAGCACGGCAGAGAGGAAACAGAGAACCTCAGAACCGGAAGCAACTGAATTAAACAAAGACTTACGCGACGAGCTAAAGCCAACGCAGGACTTAACAGTTCAACTGTCCCGGCAGACGAACTATCATAGACAAGGACCCGACAAGAGACAAAGACAACAAGTGGGTTTAAATACACAGGGAGGGTAATCAGGTAACGAGACACACCTGGGATCAATCAACGGGGAAGACGCAGAGACAACAGAGACTCACAGGACAGAAACTGAACACAGAAAACCCTTAAAAATAAATACACAGAAACACGGATCATGACAAAAAGACTGATTTTCTTAATGATGCTAAGTGCTGCGAATGAGATCTCTTACATTCTGACATGTTTTCCATTTGCATCATGTTTTATGCTGTGCTTTTTCATTTACTTTTCAGGTTGGTTCAGACATGGCAGCAATCAGGACTAATGCACCTTTTTTTTTTTTTTTTTTAAAGTTTTTTGGCAGCTTGTTAAATATATCTACCAGTTCTGTATCAGATGTCCAAAGCATTCCAATATATTGGCAATACTGTTCATTACCATCTCTGTATGTTTTAAAGGCGTGAGGATTACAAACATGCTAATGCATATTCCATGTTTAGGACACTACTACTACTACTACTACTACTACTACTACTACTACTACTAATAATAATAATAA